ACTAATCGAGATCGATTGTTCACCCTCGAAAACCCCCCTCAAGCCATATTTCAGCGGAATCGTTAGAGCCGTTTCCGCGATCGCCGGTATAAATAAATATACAAGAATTGCTCGTTTTAAGATATTAGATATTTTTATAATAATTTTCATCCAATACAAAATGTATGTAAAATGTAAATAAGCTACAGTTATTATGAAATAACAGATTGATACATCTGTTTTATTTATTAGTATAGATTGCAGTCGTTGTTTATTTACCAGGCGTATATTTATCTTCACGAATCATTAGTTATGCATACAAAATTAATATTTAAATATCAACACGTCACGTCTAAAATATTTATACATTTGGTTTTATATATTACTAGCATTGCCCGCGGCTCCACCCGCGTTCAGATGACCAAAAACCAAATTCTTACGTTTTACATATTAGTATACTCTTACAGTGCAGTTTTTGTATTTTTTCTTAGAAATGAGATATTTTCCCGCGGTAAAAAGTATCCTATATGTTGACCCGGATAACCAGCTTTTACCATATCAAATTTCATCAAAATCTCTCCAGTTGTTTTTCCGTGATGCGGTAACAGACAGACAGACAAAGATTCTAAAAACTATTGATTCGGCCTCTGTATCAAAAATGATGTCTATTTTAATAAGATTTTCCAAAAAATATTTAATGTACAGATTCGGCTTAGTTAGAATTTTATTATATGTATAGGTCTAAATTATAGATTTTTAATGAAAGAAATAAAACTTCGCAGATTTTAGATAATATATTGTTATTAACAAATGTATAGGAAAGCTCTTTCTAACATGCATCCTTATACAGCGGCATTATGCAGCTTACTCTCGCTTTGCTCGGGTGCATCTCTAGGGATGAATGGTTTAGGAACGCAAAGAGGACAAATATATAAAAAAAGTTTTTTTTTGGCAGAATCTTTCGCGGGTGTACTACGCAAAACAATTTTTCAAATTTTTATTACAATTTGATCAATTAATTAGGAATACATAGAGTACAAACATACAAAGAAAAATGTAAACATTCATTTTTAAGTTTCCGTATCTGAATGGTGCCAACAGAACCCTACTAAGTGTCCGTTGTCCGTCCGTCCTTCCGTCTGTCAGTGGGCTGTATCTCATGAACCGTAACAGGTAGAGAGTTGAAATTTTCACAGAGTATGTATTATTATTGCCGCTATAACAACAAATAATAAATATAATTAAAAATTAGAAAATTTTTTTTTTTGTTATGATAAAATATATTTTTAACACTTTCCTTGGATTTGTTTATTTTAATACAGAGCTGATAATTTTTAGTCTAATATTTACTTATTATAAATTGCCTTCGCCTCAATAAGTATAATGGCTATCTAACAAGTTATAATACTGTTCGTATTTTTGACCGACTTAAAAGAAGGAGATACTAAATTCGATTGTATGTTTTTTTTGTTATGTAACATGATATGTTTACGACAATTGTGAATGGATTTTAGTAATTCTTTTAAATGGTTCCGTAGCCACAAGGGTAAAAAGGAACCCTTATAAAATTATAAGTCATGTCTGTATGTCACAGCCATATTTTTCGGAGTCTATTGGAATTGAATTGCTGAATTTTTTGACTGTCTGAGTTACATTGCTAACATTTTTTAGGTACGCGTCTAGTGTCGATTGCTAGACAACCTACTCAAATTACAAAAAAAATGGGCGACACTTCATACATTATGTATGTAACTGAGGAATGAACATAAAGTAGTCTACATAATCGTATTTTTAACGAGTTGCCCACGTTTTTGAAAAGTATTTATAAAAAAAAATATTAATTACTTATCATTTTTTTCTTATTAAGAGTTATAAAATAACACGATAAATATGAAAAAATATTAAATCGTATACTTATACTTTGAATTTAATTTATTATTTTAATAAGTTTGATATTTACTCGATATTAGTAATAAATTAGAAAGATACTTATATACTAAAAAAAAACAATTGGGAACCAGTTTTTATATACTGACTACTGAGTGGATAATATAAAACACCTTTGACAGCTATAAGTAATAAATTATCCAATTTATACTTATATATAACAATAAATCACGTTGACGGTCCGTCATTCACTTAACATTCGTAATAAATATTTATATTATGTAAAATTAATTTATTTTCTAAGTGCATATCTAGTAGGTACTCATAGAAATTAAATCATTAAGCGTTTGAAATGTTATGTGTAACTAGTCTTTGCACGTGGTGATACCCGTGTAGTATATCTATACACTAGCGACTCACCCTCGCTTCGCTCGGGTTCGTCCCTAGCTTGTTTCCCATACATACTTTCATCCCCATTTTCATCTCCTTAAGGGATGATTTCCGGATAAAAATTGATGAGATTTAGTGTTATCAATAAAAAAAAATGTTAACAGCTTTTTTATGTAGACGGGTAACTAATTTCTATTCCTGTGTATGTATGTTTTCCTCAAAATTTCTACAGTAATTACCTATAAAACCTATAAAAAATATAAAGAATATTTTAAATAGAACTAGAAGTTTCAGAGATGTTAGAGCGTCTTTTTTATCATATAATCTTTATAACTTATCATAAAGCCGTATTAATACAGTTATTTGGTAGTTATACTTGGAAAGTTTTGGGGGAGTATTGAAAATTTGTGATTTTATAGACTTCTACGGGCTCCACCCGCTACTTCACCTGATATGGTGGTGTGGAAATTAGTTTTTTTTTTGCCCAAAGCGGGTATTGAGTCGACTTTGCAGCACTCGGTCGCTAAAACTCTTCATTTTACAAAAAAATATAAATATCTTAATAACATAAAATGTAATCTATACATGAAATAAAATTATAACTAAGCCGAATCTGTACATTAAATATATTTTGGGAAATCTTATTGAAATAGACATTATTATCGATAATGAGGCCGAATCTATAGTTTTTAGATTTTTTGTCTATCTGTTACCGCATCACGGAAAAACCACTGGAGGGATTTTGATGAAATTTGGTATTTTGATAGCTGGTTGTCCGGATCAACATATAGGATACTTTTTACGGCGAGAAAATATCTCATCTCTGAGAAATAGATACTAAACGTTAAAACGTTAGTAGTTTAATCTGAAAGCATAGTTTTATTAAAAAAAGGTTTGGAGTTTTTTTTATTTCACTGAATATTTTTTATTTGTTTTTCCTTTATTTCAACTTTTTTAGACCTCTTTGTATTTTTTAATTCCGACTTAAAAATCAATATTTTTTAATTATGTATAACAAACCGCACATAAGTAAAATTGGCGTCTTATAATCTTACCTAGTGGAAGGAAAAAAATATCTTGATGCTTGATGAATTGCTTGAAAGGAAAATATTTTTGCAAACAAGGAAAAAAATTTCCGAATTAATTTTCCGTTTATTGTTGTTTTGCGAGAGAGTAACATCGGGTTTTTCTTGAAATGAGATTATTTTCACAGGTTTTTGTAATTTGCATTCTTTATTTTATTAAACGAAAGTAAGTATATTAAAGTTATGGTTATAAACTAATTTTTACGATTAATTTTTTAATTAATTAAGCTTAAATAAAATTGTAACAGTCGAATCTGTACATTAAATATTTTTTGGAAAATCTTATTGAAGTAGTCATTATTATCGATACAAAGGCCAAATCTATAGTTTTTAGAATTTTTGTCTGTCTATATTTATGTATGGGAACGCATCACGAGAAAAACAACTGGACAGATTTTAATAAAACATCTAATGATAATAGCTGGTTATCCGGTTCAACGTATAGGATACTTTTTATTGCGGGAAAATATCTCATCTCTGAGAAATCTATACTAATCGTTATAACGTATTCAGAGACGAACCCGAGTTGAGCGAAGGTGAGTCGCTACTCGCTAGTCTCATATAAATTTCAAGAAAGAAAATTACACGTAGGACTAAAATAATAATTATATAATAATTACACTACGGGAATTACGTCACGAGCAGCTGGTGCAACTCAGTCGAAAGGTCGGGAACAAGGTATACCTATAGCCTCTAAGAAGTTAAGTCCCCTAGTGTAATTATTACATAACTTTAAAAGTGATTTTGAAGTCGAGGTACCTTTTAAGTGTATATATGATTTTATCTCGACTAAATATGTATTTTCTAATCAAACGTGAATATTAATACTGACGCTGTAATATGATTAAAACAAAACAAACAATTCAATAATAATTCGGACGAAAACAATATAAATCACATAAAAATATTTATTTTTATATTGTACTTCTCTGTCATTAAGTAACTTCATGTCATCAATCAGTGTTTACCTAAGTTTGTTTATTAATGTGTTATATAAAACCCATCACGAGGCTTCACCATAATTTAATTTCAAGGCGAGTACAGGGACGAGTGTTGTTTACTTGCCCTACAAATATTTGTGTATGATACTTCACATGTTACTGCCACTATGTTATTTTATTAGGTTAAAAGGTGCTCGAATCGAAAACGAAACATGTCAGTGTCAATTTGTTTTTTTTTTATTTTATAGCTTTTGAGTGTCACTTCACTATTGTTTTGCCCGATTTCGTAAAAGGAGAAGGTATTTGTGCGTGTGGTTAAAAAGAAATAAGCGCACATGTAAACAGATAAAGAATAAAAACTTTTTAACAAAAAATAAAAACCGACTTCCAGGCACTAAAATGTAAAAAATAACTAAACGGAGGTTTTCATTTAGAATAGATACCTAATCAGATATTTTCGAAGTCGGTGCCAGCCGATGCAAAGCAAATCTTATATATTTCGATACGTAAAATACATATTTACCTATTAGATATTAATATCTTAAAATATTGTCGGATTTCTCGTTCAGACGTCTTCGAGTAATCGGTGAACATACATAAAAAAAAAGAAAAAAAAAAGATTCCGACGAATTGATAACCTCCTCCTTTTTTGGAAGTCGGTTAATAAATAGCACCTTATTTTGTACAGGATGGTAATAGAAGTTTCCATTGTCCCCAGGTGTTCCACCTTCGTGACATTCGCTGGGAGAGGCCGCGATTCATCTCGAAGTCTTTCCTCGCGTTCGTTACATTCAACGTCATCAGCTATTCTCTGCTGGCGGCAGAAGTGCTGACCACCAACATTGCTGATACTTCTGTGAAAAACAGGGTAAGTTAATATAGCGGTTTTTAGTGTTCTGTATCCAAAAGTAAAAGTGGGCCCCTTAATAATTTTGTCTTGTCGGTCTGTCTGTATGTTTGACATTTTACTCAGTGACTATTGGAGCTTTAGTAGACGTCGCCTTAGTGCTTATTTGTTCAAACTACCGGTACTTGTTGGACTATACAGTACAGAGTTTTTCTTCTATTTTAAAAACAAAGCTTTATTTTTAAGATTTATATACGTACATATATAGATAAAATGCGTACAATTTTTGGGTTTTATTGAAGTAAAGTGTGTATTTAATACCAATAAAATTGTCATTTAAAAGTCAATAATTCTGTATTAAAAACTCTCTTTCGGTAAATTGGTCGTTTGGACAATTAAGCACTGAGACGAACGTGACGTAGTGTGTGTTTCGTGGGATGTTTCTGGATAGTCCTTTAAAATTGAGGTGCATGATTGTAAGTGATTTTTTTAAGCAATAGGTATCATGCTTCTGAATACCTCCATTTTTTCTATATAATTACATAATATTTATTTGTTTGTTTACAAAAACTTAAATTGTTTCACATATCTTTTATTAGGCTTTCTACTTTAGTTATTGCAATTGAGATTTACAGTCTACGCAACTTTTTTTTGTTTATGAAACCCGTAATATAAGTAGGTATGTACTTTAGAAAAAGTATAAGTAAAATTTATAAGTTGTTTTCAATTGAAACGCCTTAGCCTTGATCAGTTTCTTAGAAGGTCGTCGCATGTTAAAACATGAAATTTTCCTTTTCAAATTGGAACAATTGCTTTGATCTGAATAATATTGCTATTTATTAAGTATAAGTACATAGATTAAGCATTGAATAGGAGTTTTAATTTGGCTATCTCTTTTGCAATATTTATGCTCAGAGTAAACAATTATAAGCAGAGCGTATTTTACAGTTACTGAGGGAGGTACGTTTTTTTTTGAGCTTTAACATAAATATGTCAATTTCTTCCATTTTTTCTGCTTTTTAGATGAATTAATCTAATATGAAGATAATATTGGATTTATTTTATCTAATATTTAGCTCGTATATTTATATTATATTGCTCTCACTCTCTCGGGCTTATTCCTAGGTAAAATGAGTATACCTATTTCACTCTCGAGCCTTCTGACATTATATTTATAAAGAGTAGTCGAAATTATCTGTGTAAAATTTTGCTTATGTCGCTGTCCAGTTCTTCAACTATCTCCATACAAAAAATCACATCAATCCTCAGCTCCGTTTTGGCTTAAAATAAGGACAAATAAACAGACAGACTTACATTCATACAGTAATAGTATATTAGGGATTGTATTTTTGTTGCTCGATAAATATTGCAAAAAGCAATTAACGAATTTACTTTTTTTGGTTTGTTGAAACAAAAACCAAAATAAGGATCATGAAAATGTCAAACATTTCGCGTTTATTTAAAAAAGTATTATGAAAAAGCATTTAATTTACGTCCCTTGCGGCTGGATCTCTTTAGCTAAGGAAGCGTGCCTTCGAAAATACACAGATTACTGTTATAAAGCTTATTATATTATTACTGTCATTTTTATTACTCTGTAGTGTTATTATATATAATCTTTTGTTTGTCAAATAATAATTGTTTACAGTAAAGTACGTTCAAAATTCGTATTTTTGTTTATTTTTTTTTTAATAATTTTTTTTAAATGTTTCGACTGACAGTTTAATATAAATGACTTGCAGAACTCGCGGCTTTGCCCGCATTCAATCTACAAAAAAACCTCTTTTGCTATAAGTTATATAACAACTAAACGTCGCTTCGCTCCTGTTCGTCCCTATGTATTTATATATTATTAAATTATTTGGATATTGTTCATACAAAAATACTAAAATCGCGATTAAAAATGGGGGGTGGGGGTAGGAGGGTGAAAAATACTATACGACCTATTCTCATACGACATACAAAAAAATACCATTAAAATAGGTCAAGCCGTTTCGGAGGAGTACGACCTCAAACACCGTGACACGAGATATTTATATATTAGATTAGATACCTCTCCATGTTGGCGGTACTCGTACAAAATAAATTGCGCGTGGGAGTCATCAATTGTGCAATGCTATAACGACCTTAACCCCACTCGGCAGACGTCCATTATCCTCACAACTTACGAGTATATGTAAAATTTCTATACATTTTTTTCCATTATTCCAAAGTGTAAAGACAAAGAAAGACAATATTATGAATAAGCTTTTGTAACCGCATGTCGCTTTCGTGGAAAAATATTGTAGTAGCGATAACACTTTTCGCTAGAAGGAAAGTTTTTTTTTTCCAAGCGACTCATCCTCGCTGGGCTTGGACTCGTCACTAGGTACGTTTTAACGGATAGTAGAGATTTTTCAGAGATAAGATATTTTCTCGCAGGAAAAAGTATCCTATATTATGTTGACCTGGACAAGCAGCTATCATCATACCAAATTTCATGAAAACCTGTCCAATGGTTTTCTCGTAATGCGTTCCCAGACATACAGACAAAAATTCAAAAAAAAAACTAGATTTGGCCTCTGTTTTGATAATAATGACTATATCAATAAATTTTTCCAAAAAAAATTGGAATGGTCAGATTCGACTTGGTTAGAATTTTATTACATCATATATATAAAATTTCCATGTCACAATGTTTGTTACCGTACTCCTCCGAAACGGCTTTACCGATTTTTACCAAATTTTATATGCGTATTCAGTAGGTCTGAGAATCGGCTACTATCTATTTTCTATACCCCTAAGTGATAAGGATAAGGGTGGTCCTCCCAGACCCCACCCCAGGGACGAACCCGAGCGGAGCGAGGGTGAGTCGTTAGTATATGTATAGATTAATGGTATCTTATAAACAAGGAATAATGTATGTCGCAAATAAGATATACGATGTACACAGATATGTAAGAGATCAAAACTGTTTTAATAAAAGCTACAGCTATTTTATTCTACATTGTCGATACCAATATTTTAGTTGTAGAAATGATATTTCTAAAGTATACGGGCTTGAAGATAAATACGAGTATCTTTGATATAATTTACTAGTCATAGTACCTGGGCGAACGAGCTTCTCTCGGTGTTTTTCGGGCAAGATATAAAAATAGCGTTTTTTTTTCCAGAAAATACATATAATAGATAAACTTAAAACGCAAAACATTATCGAAATACAAAATTTGATACAAATCGTTAGAGCCGTTTCTGAGATACACAAAATAAATTTATATATTTACAAGAATTGCTCATTTAATATAATGCTATTCTCTAAATATCGCTTCGCTCGGGTTCATACATAGGTACGTTTTAACGGTTAGTATGGAATAGATAAACTATATATTATATGATATATATATATATATATATATATATATATATATATATATATATATATATATATATATATATATATAGCCTTTCTCAATAAACGGGCTATCTAATGCAAAAAGATTTTTTCAAATCGGACTAGTAATTCCTGAGATTAGGGCGTTTAAACAAACATTATAGTATAATATTAGTATAGATTAAATAAAAGATAAGAAATGTACATACATTATTAATATCTAGAACTAATACTAAATTTTCAATATCCTTTTGTTACAGAATTTTTACCAGCACGTATTCAACGGTTGCTACTCGGTGCTGCTGTTCATAGTGGTCATATTCTTCCTCATATATGGAGTAGAAGTTTTTTTCAAGGTAAATTGTTTAGAGATAGTTATCTTATATTTTACATATATTTGCAGGATAATTCGATTTCTATTTGTTAAGATATTTTAGCTTCATATATTATGCCTTTAATATAAGATGTCGGGTTAGAAGTATATTGCGACAAGAAGGCTTGTCATCACTGAAATTTTCCTCCATCGTAAGACAAGTGGTAATCGTGTTTTTTTTATCTTTATCTGAAGGACTTGTTACATAACAAAAAGCGAACATGTCGTCCTTGTAAACAAGTGGTAATGTTGGAAATAATTCGCATATGAAAATATCAGAGATTTGAGTCCCGGGATTTGAACCCGCTTCATTCGGTTGAACAAGCGAACGCGTTACAACTGGGTTACCATGTGGGATATATCGTGATAAATATGTTTATCTAAGGATTTCTCCTACTTGATATTACTCTAGATCTAGAAATAGGTATCTAGATCGGAAAACTTTAGGCATGTTCGATGCACTCTTAAACAAATTATCTACATATAAATATTTTCTCTCCGTGAATTCTCCAAAACGAAACCTAGATAAGAGAGCCAATGTGTTAGTATTTTTAAATAAAACTATCTTTTCGGATTTTGTCGCGGATTTATTTGTATTTTTGTTTCCCGACGTTTCGAATGCTTTACAGCATCCATGGTCACGGGAGAGACTGAGGTGTTACATGTCTTAAAGATATAGTTGTTACAGACAGCCTACCCACAATTAACAAAATGAAAATTGCACCAATTAATTACATTACAATATTTTAACTTTAAATATTTTTATGTAATTGGTGCAATTTTCATTTTGTTAATTGTGGGTAGGCTGTCTGTAACAACTATATCTTTAAGACATGTAACACCTCAGTCTCTCCCGTGACCATGGATGCTGTAAAGCATTCGAAACGTCGGGAAACAAAAATACAAATAAATCCGCGACAAAATCCGAAAAGATAGTTTTATTTTAAATGTCAAATATTCGCGTAAATCTAAGAAAGTATTATTGTGTTAGTATTTTTTTTAAATATTTTATCAATTGTATATAAGGTCACATGGCCACATAATAACACTAAAACACTATCGTATATGGTAACAATAAGGAACACTATCCGTTTGAACCATTTGTGGTCATCTTGAGACTTATAATGGATCATTGTTGATGGCGAATATTGTGTGGTCTAAATGCGAGCATATAATTTCAACTTTATTGTCTTAAACTTAAAGTTATTTATCGTATGTTATTTGTCTTTGTTGTGTTTTATTTTTAAAAGTGATAGTGTTTATGACATTACAAACTTATTGTTCCTAGATAATGGTTCATTAGACCATTTATGGTCAGATTGTTCGTTTGTTGGTTTGTTTTTTTTTGTATTAAAGATTATACTAGCGACCCCTTTTTTTTTTAACGTTGGGAAATGTATTTACGCACGACGTGTGGGACTCACCGGCCTAATACAGCCAGTACTACCCACTAAAACCCAACAAAACCTTCCCCCGTCTTAATGGGGCGTCGCAGGATCGCTTACGCATTCAACTACGACGCCCCGACGGCAGGTCTGCCAAAGCAGACCACCACAACCATGGGGTTGCTCCAAGTTCCACTCTGCTATCAGAGAAGTACCAGGAGCAACCCGCAAGGTACACCGCCCCCCGAAGAGGGCCACCTCCCACCGCCCACCGAAGTGGGCAACCTCCCTGTGCGTTTCTTAGCCTCGCTACTACTACTGAGCCCCCCCACCACGACAAGGTGAACGCACGTTGGGGGGGGGGGATACTAGCGACCCCTAGTTAGGTACGTTTTAAGGTAGTAAGTATAGATTTCTCAGAGATGAGATATTTTGATTATAAATTATTTTTTTTAGATTTCTCAGAGATGATTTAAGTAATGATTATAAATTTATTTTTCTTTACGTAAATAGCATCTTTCTTATTTAATTAGATCTTATGTATCCCTCTTTACGGTTATTTCTTTTGTAAGTTACAAAAGAAAATATAATATGTCCTTAAAAATATTAACTTTATGGTTTGTTTTTTGTTGTTAGCTTCGCGGTGAATTCCTCAAGGAAACGAAAGTATGCACGATAATATCCCCAAGACCGGGACCATCCACCGCAGCCGAAGGCGATGATGTTCAAGACACGTTGGTCACTAAGCAGGTAAGGACCTAACAGATGCTAAAATAAGACAGAGAAAGTGAGATAAAGTAGGTAAGAGAGAGAAATTAAGATAGAGAAGAAATGAGAAATATATGTAGAGAGGAGAGATGTTAAAAGAATACGTGTGTATGTGTATTTATGTACGCACGTAAGAAGTTATACTTCTTTGGTGTAACAGAACAAAAATAGCTAAAGATTTTATCCCGTATATCACAACTGTCTGTTTGTAAAAGGAATGCAGCTAACTTCATCATGTTGCTTTTCGGCTGTCGGTGTGCGTGCGCATCGTAAAAATTTTACCCTCATATTTTTTTCCAAACTTGCCAAAAGAAGTATTAATCTAAAAATAACTCTCTACTCGATCGAGATCGAGACCGAGAGTGAACATATGATGGTTTGCAAGTTCTGCGTGGCATCGAGGTATAAAATCATCCTTAACTTATAACTGCCGGGTTGCCACTAAGCATTCTATGACAATAAAACTCGGTATCATCTTTTGACTTATATAGAATTTATGACATTATGTGCAACCTTAAAAACTACTATGATTAACCTAACAATGTTGTTCTGTAGATTTTTTTTAAATAAAATTAATTTTACGAACTTTTTCCTAATGTTCTCCCAACGCGACGTTTCAAATACTTAAAAACAATCATGGTCACTCTTCGTAAAATATGGTTTTATTTAAAATGTCATATATTCGAGTAAATAGAAGAAAGTATTGTAGTTCTGTAGACGTCAAGAAAATGTATGCAGATTCACCTAAAACTATATCAATATATCCATACTAATATTATAAATGTGAAAGTGTGTTTGTTTGTTTGTCTTTCTTTCACGTCGAAACGGAGTGACGGATGGGCATGATTTTTGATGAAAACTGAAATAGAGCCGCAAATAAAAATGATTCATTAAAACAACTTATGTATATACATCTATACTATTACTCATATTATAAAGAGGTAAAGTTTGTGAGTTTGTGCGTTGCAGGGGGTAATCTCTGGATCTACTGAATCGATTTAGATGAAATTTGGTAAGAAGAGACCCTGGAAGGATACTTTTTATCCTGGAAATCAACCCTTAAGATGGTGGAAATGGGGATGAAAGTTTGTATGGGGAATCAATCTAGGGACGAACCCGAGCGAAACGAGAATGAGTCGCTACATCGTACGTACGCTACGTAGTACATGATAAAATTATAAATGTACATAAAAGATAAATAACAGCTTATTTCTTTTAAATGAGCATAATAGTTTTAGTTTAAAATTATCCTACAGTTAGTGTTAAATGTCGTGTTATAATTGTGCCGGCGGAACAATTGTTGCTGGTGCAACTGTAACCTGTAATTATTTTTGTTATTTTGTGATTAATCTCTAGATCTACTCTGTGGTTTATAGTTGCGTTTATGTTACAAATTATATATTGTTGAGTTTTTCTGTACCTAATTCTTTCTTAGATTTACGCCAACATTTGACATCTTACTACTATACTATATAAATACGAAAGTTTGTTTGGGTGGATGTTTGTTACTCGATCACACCTTCTATCTCGAAAAAATACACGGTTCCCGTGGGATAAATAAAACTACCTTTTTGGACTTTTTAGAGGATTTATTTTTATTTTTCACCTCCCGTGACTATGATTGTTGTAAAACATCAGAAACGTCGGGAATCAAAAAATAAAATAAATATATATTTGTTTTAATGAAACCCACTTCTTATATAATATAAACATTGGGAAAAAGATATTGCGAGGAACGCCTGTTTTATTTTGATATGGCTAAACTTCTGGTGCTTCTTTAATTTAAGCTATTCCACTAGTGTTGTGAGGCTATTTCATAATATTTCGAATATATTGAAGGTCTATAAGAATTTTAAAAACTTTGACAGCTAGAAGTCTACTTAATATACTACAATATCTGTAAGAGTTTATGAAACACTAGCAACTCACCCTCTCTTCGCTCGGGTTCGTCTCTGGCTTGCTTCCCCATACAAACTTTCATCCCCCTTTTCACCCCCCTTAAGGGATGATTTCCAGGATAAAAAGTATCCTATGTCGTTGCCAGGGTTTCAAACTATCTCCTTACCAAAATTCATTTAAATCGGTTCAGTAGATCCAGATATTGCCCCCTGGCCCCTACAACCTCACAAACTCATAAACTCACAAACTGACAAACTTTACCTCTTTATAATATTAGTATAGATGATAAGGAAATCGCGTCGAAATTAATTTTGTCCTTATAGTTCAGTTTAGTGACTTACTTCGCTTCACTCGGGTGCGTCCATAGGTACCTGACATAGCCTATGTGTTACTTCAGATCAAAATCTATCTGTATTCTACATTTCTTCCAAATCCATTCAACCGTTTTAAGGCGAAGGAGTAACAAACATACACACACATATACATATAAACTTTCACATTGATAAAATCTTTTATGTTCAGGGCATCCAGACAGATTTAGCAGACTACAATGGCACGGTGGATCCCCGCTCGGTGAACCACTCGCAACTACATCAGTCCCGCCTAGGTCTGGTCAGCCAGGCCTTGATGCTGATTCTCATTGCTGGTTTCCTTGCTTCGGAGACGTTGAGCGAGTTTTGGAAGACTAAGTGAGTAGTCTTTTGTATTTATAAAAAAATATATAAATTATTTTTCCGTGCTTGTAATTCGTAAATAACATTAAAATTGTGCTTTGTAAAAACCCTGTCTTGCGAAAACAAGGTAAAAAATACTACCTACAAATATTAAAAAAAAATATAACATTTATGAATCAAAAGTTAATCATTTAAAGACTAATTAGTAGATTAATGTGAAAAAACCGATGCACCCCTGGAACTAAATCTGTCGCCGTCTATGATCTTAAGTATTTACTGCGACAGTAATATCTCTCTCTCTCCCTCAGAGTGCCAGTGGTGTCGCGCAATTGGCACGACTTGATGTACAGGCTCTATAAGATCAATCTTTTCTTATTGACATTTAGAGTATCTTAGAGCTGAAAGTAAACAGCAATATCTCGCTCTCTCTCTCTCGGAGTGCCAGTGGTGTCTTGTAATTGGCACGACTTGTTTTACAGGCTCAGTCTTTTATTATTGACACTTAGAATATCTTAAGTATTTACTGAAATACAAATATCTCGCTCTCTCTCTCTTAGAGTGCCAGTGGTGTCGCGCAACTGGCACGACGTGGTGTTCCGGCTGGCTGAGATCGGTGTCGCGCTATGGTTCCCGTGCGTGCTGTGGAACTGCATGGCGCCGGAGCGACTGTGGCTGCTCAACCCGCGGCGGCTGCTCGCGCGGCAGCTGGACGACGCGCGCCTCTCCGATCTGTTGGCCAAGAGACCGACTGATCATAAGGTGGTGAGTACGGTAGTAGTTGTGTGTAGGTTTGGCTTACGTTACTATGAAAGTAGTGTTTATTGTTGGCTAGCGATTCTACCTCGTGTTGCTCGGGTTCGTCCCTAGGTACGTTTTAATGGTTACTATATACTATACGTATGTATACATGTAGAAAAGTCGGTAATTACTTTAAAGAAACTTGATATCGTCCCCTATTTTATCTTGATTGGTCGTAAACGCCCAAATATTCATTATATCTTAGCAAAATTATAGAATTTAAACTTTTTTTTGTCCTTAACTTGTTTCTTATATATATAAATTTTCAAGCTCTTATTTCACTCCTTTCAAGTTTCATGTTTGTGACAAAAAATATCCTTTGTCCTTCTTCAAGGTCCCATCCGTCTCTATGCCAAACTTTATGTATGTGAGGGCTCGCCCAAAAATTTGTAAGGGCTGGGACACCTCACATAGACGGTGAGCTGAATCGGGGGTTGGAGTTGTAAGGGAGAGAGATGTAAGGGTGTGCACTTACTTGGAATGTAGATGGGCGGATGATAGATGGATGGCGCTGGGTGAATGGCACGCTCCTGGGCTGAATATACCTTTGCACGTATAGGTACACGTGCAACAAAGTTTTATATTATACGCTATATTCACTATCACTGTTCAATTGTCTGTATAATTCACTTTAATAGGAGCCGGCCGGCAATATACTTATAATAATTCACACACGAGCAGATGAGCTGAAGGGTTTTACTTTTACATATATTTTCAATTTAACGACCCTTCTCGAACCGTGGACGACGCGTGACCATTTCCGAGTGGCGCGCATGCGACGCTCGCGCCGAATCAATGAGTAAGAGTGAGAAAGCAAATCAGGGAACCAATCGTCGCGCCCGAGTGGCGCGAACATCCTGGGGGGCCCGAGAGAGCACCTCTTCTTGAGCTGAATCTAACGGCAGCCTTGCTATCTTGAGCACAGGTCTGCGCAGATGTCCGTGGGCTGTGTCCAGATCCACAACTCGGATCACTCCATCCTTGCCAGGTATTGTGCGGGTAATTCTTCCCAGTTTCCATTGGAGCGGGGGCAGGTTATCTTCTTTGACGAGTACCAGTTCGCCAACTTGAGGAGGTGAGGAAGGGGAAAGCCATTTGGAGCGGGTCTGAAGGGTATGGAGGTAGGATCTGGTCCACAGTGTCCAAAAGCGTTGAGAAAGAGCTTGTATGAGTTGAAAACGTTTAAGAGCAGATAATGGCCTGTCATCAAAGGACGGCTCGGGCAGAGCTGTGAACGGACGGCCTATAATAAAATGGCCAGCGGTTAAGGGCTGAAAGTCCGACGGGTCGGATGAAAGTGGGCAGAGAGGTCTGGAGTTAAGTACAGCCTCAATTCGTGTCAGAAGTGTAGAAAATTCCTCAAATGTAAGGTGTTGTTCACCAATTACGCGATAAAGTAATTGTTTCGTAGATTTAATGTTAATTTCATGTAACGCGCCGAACCAGGGGCCCTTTGGGGGGTTCAACAACCAGGTTACGTGCTGGTTAGCTAGTTTGTGTGTGATTGCATCATTGTTAGCAGTGAGAAAATTTTGGACTTCTATGAGGTGATTTCTGGAGCCTACATAATTGGTGCCGCAATCTGATCTAATTAGTACCGGCGTACCGCGCCGTGAGATAAATCTTTGTAACGCCGCGAGAAAGGCTTCTGTGGTAAGAGCAGAGACGGCCTCTAAATGAACCGCCTTAGTTGAGAGACACACAAATATGCAAAAGTACGCTTTTAAGAGCTTAGCGTTCCGTAATGTGCTAGATTTAATGAGAAACGGGCCGGCAAAGTCAGTCGTGACTTGGCTAAATACAGGTTGAGGGTTAACCCTGTCCGCGGGAAGGTCTCCCATGAACGGGGCTTCGGGTTGAGCGCGACATCGGAAGCATCTTATACATTTAAACACCCTGCGTCTGATCACGCGGCGAGCGGATAGTATCCAGAATTGCTGGCGGAGAATGGCGTGTAGAGTGTCAGAGCCAGGATGGCAGTGTATTTTGTGGTAATGGTCAATGATGAGGTCTACGAGTGGGCTAGAGCTGGGCAGAATGAGTGGATGTTGAGCATCATACCTAATTGGAGCATGAGAAAGACGACCACCGACTCTCAGGAGACCGTCTTTGATAAATGGCGATAGACGCTGCAGTCGAGCAGTAAAAAGTTTATCCTTTTGAAGACGGTGAAAGTCCTCTGCGAACTCATTTTGTTGAACAGAGCGGACCCAGAATAACAGAGCGTCCCTACGTTCGCCAACAGTCAGCGGACCAGCGCGTCGTGCCTTTGGGCTGTGCTTACAATTGAAAATGAAACGCATGATACAAGCCGTCACCCCGACGAGCTTGTCAAGTGAGCTGAAGCGAGTGAGCAGATCATGGTCAATATCCGGAACCGCTATATGTGCTGGTAATTTTCTCGGTTTAAGGCCTGGTAGAGCATGGTGGCCTAAAGCGACTGGCATCTTGGGCCAGGTACTAGGGGGCTCTTTGAGCCAACTGGGAGACCACCAGAGATCATGAGCTGAAAGTGATTGTGCTGACATGCCCCTGCTTGCACAGTCTGCAGGGTTGAGGTTCGTGGGAACATGTCTCCATATAATGCTAGTCGGACTAGACGTTATTTTTGCCACTCGGTTAGCCTCGAATGTCTGGAGCCGATGAGGGGGCGTGTTTAGCCACGCTATAACTATTGTGCTATCCGACCAACAGATATGCTGGTCTATAGCAATATGAGCTGATAATTTAGTGGACACACGAGTCATGAGTTGCGATAATAGAGCTGCGGCTGATAGTTCCAATTTAGGAATTGTGAGGCGATTCTTAATTGGCGCGACCTTAGACTTGGCAACGACCAGGTGTACATTGACCTGTCCATTGGCATTGAGCTCATGAAGGTAAATGACAGACGCAAATCCAGCTTCTGATGCGTCTGCGAAACCGTGGAGCGAGTAAGTAGATGTCGGCTTATATTTGCAGATGTGACGAGGTAAGCGGAGATTCGAGAGTTGAGGAAGATCTTGTGAAATGTGCTGCCACTCTGTGCAAACGTCAATGCTAAGGGGTTCGTCCCATCCCAGTTTCAGGAGCCATAACTTCTGTAAAAGGCACTTTGCGCGGAAAATGACCGGTGTGACCCAACCGTTGGGGTCATAGAGTGATGCTACTGTGCTGAGAATAGAGCGCTTTGTGATTTGGGTTATTAGAGGGAGAGAGATGCGATAAGTGAACTCATCCGATTGAGGAATCCATTGTATCCCTAGCACTTTAATGGTGTTTGATTCTGGGCTGATGTCAAAGTCCTTAGGCATGTCACATTGGTCATCAGGAAACCGTTCCAGGAGCTGGGGACAGTTTGAAGTCCATTTACTGAGCTGAAAGCCACCCAGGCCAAGCAAATCAATCAACTCGGTTTGTAGTACCTGTGCAGACTCCACAGAGTCATGACCACAAAGTATATCGTCAACGAAGATCGAATTGCGTAGGATCTGTGCAGCTTGTGGGTAACGATGACCTTCGTCATCAGCCAATTGGAGCAGTGTGCGGATGGCATGGTACGGGCTGGACCGTAAACCATACGTGACTGTATTTAGCGCATATGTGAGCAGAGGCTGGTCAGGTGACGACCGCCAGAGAATAAGTTGATACTGTCTATGATCTGGATGGATGAGTATATTTCTGAACATCTTTCTGATGTCAGTACTGAAAACTACAGGGTGTGTTCTAAATGACATAATAATATCAACAATATCCTGTTGGAGAGCTGGACCTGTGTGCAGGCAATCATTTAGACTTACGCCATTTGAGCTTTTACTGCTACCATCAAATACAGTGCGTAGCTTATCTGATCCCGTCTTGAAGATAGCATGATGCGGAATATAGAAGTGCGGCCTACCTGCAAAGGTACTTGGGTGACAGGGTGACATGTGTCCCAAATTGAGATACTCATTCATAAAGTCAACATATTGAGAGCGGAGGGGCGGATTTGCTTGAAGCTTCTTTTCGAGATTGAGAAATCTACGTAACGCAATAGCATGAGTGTTGCCTAAGGTCGGCGCATTTGGTAAAAAAGGCAATGTTACCATATATTTGCCTGATGGTTCTCGAGTTGTTGTGGTGCGGTAAATTTCTTCGCATTGCTCCTGCAAAGGACTGGTCGCTATATGAGGTTGTGGTTCTTCCGAGTCCCAGAACCTCTCAATGCGCTTGCAAATTTCGCGTGTAGATACGTCGGATTCTGAGTGTGAGCTGATAACGTGAGCTGAGATGGACTGGTTTGCAGACGTTGCATGTAAATCCGCAATAGGTCCTATCAATGCATAATCGAAAATCGTGCCGAAGGCTATAGGCTTCCCCCGGCCTAACGACACCTTAGTCCCGTCCAGAACTTGGCCGAGAACGTCAGAACCCAATAAGAGATCGATCGGAGCTGGTGTATGGTAATCTTGATCTGCCAAGGGAATCGGAGGCTCTGCATCTGCTATGCGCGGAACTTTTTGTATTGGTAAGTAACCTGTAAGATTTTTTAAAATATGCGCTGTAGCTGTAATCGTAGGTGTGTCATGGTGTGTAGGTCTACATACTATTGTGATTGATTCCTTTGAGTCCTGTGTGTGGTGGTTGCCCACTCCTGCGATTTTTAGTGATGTTTGATTTAGCGGTAAATTCAAAATTCGAGCCATGCGCTGAGTTATAAGTGTTATCATGCTACCACAATCCAACAAGGCTCGAGCTGTGTGAAAGTGGCCATGTACGTCTGCTATTTTTAGCGAGACGGTTGGCAATAAAATTGGTAAATTAGTAACGTGCTCTTCACGTTGAGCGGAATTGCAAAAATAATTATTCATGGTTGGAGCTGATATCGCAGAGTGAGCTTGTGAGGTCTGTGTGTGAGCTGAGTTTGAGTGAGTGTGCTGATTAGTTTCTTGTTTGTAGTGTTCGTTTATTGTAGATAGTCATTGTTGACCACCTACCCGAGACCT